TATTTTTTGTGCTCGTGTGTAACCCCACTTGGATAAAACCTTGTGCTGATCCTGCTCTTCATGGAATCTCAGTGTTTCGTGTGGCACAGATGATGAGGTTGGGGGCTTCTTTTTCCCTCCCCTGGATGCTTTTAAATCCCACATGGCTCAGTTCCCCCCTCGCTTGCAGAGCTGCTCCCTCGTGGCAGTGATTTCAGTGGGTTTCAGTGGGTTTTAGTTTATTTCAGCGGGTTTCAGTGGATTTCAGTGGATTTCTGTGGGTTTTAGTTTATTTTAGTAGATTTTTTTAGTTGATTTCAGTGGATTTCAGTGGGTTTTAGTGGGTTTCAGTGGATTTCAGTGGGTTTCAGTGGATTTCAGTGGATTTTAGTTTATTTCAGTGGATTTCAGTGGATTTTTTCAGTGGATTTCAGTGGATTTCAGTGGCTTTTAGAGGGTTTCAGTGGGTTTCAGTGGGTTTTAGTTTATTTCAGTGGGTTTCAGTGGATTTTTTCCGAGGATTTCAGTGGATTTCAGTGGATTTCAGTGGATTTCAGTGATTTCCAGCTCCTCTTGCCAGGCTATCACAGCTCTGAGTGCTGAGCTGCTGATCCCTGCAGGTCTCTGCAGTGCCCAGGTAGCAGCCTGCACTCTGGGCTGTGATTTTGTTTTATTCCTCAGCCCCAGCAGAGCTTTCCCCCGAGCCACTCCGCAATCAGAGCCCGCAGGAATTCGGGAGAGCTGTGACATCTCAGCTCTGCTCACATCAACTGCAGCAGCCAAGGCTTGAAGTGTGACCACACAGAGCCTTTCAAAACCATCCACGATTCTTCTGAAGCCGTTTGCCAAGACAAGGCACTCACCTTGTTAGGGGTGATAATCCAGCGTTAGGGAGATAATCCGACATTGGCTTTTATCGTCTCATTTCTGCGGGCGCTGCCGTGGCAGAGATGTGCCCTCCCTGCCTTTCTCCCCGTCCTCCCCTGACAGCACCAATGCCTCTGAACAGCCACTAAAAGACAATAAAAACCCCACTGCAATAATAAATAAACACGTGGAGTCTCACTGTAAATAAAAGTGACCACAGAGCGAAGCAGAGCAGAGCCTGTGGCGTGTTCTGCTACGAAACAAACACAGGCAGGCATTTCATCAGCTGCAGGTGTGAACTTCTACAGGATCAGAAAAATTTACTGATAATTTACTGATAAAATCAAATTATTGTCAATAATTACCTTCAGAGCCGGGGGCAGCCAGTCTGTGGTGTGACTTCTCTTTAGAAAGAGATGAGAGCTGTCCTGTGACTGAGGATTGCAGCCAGAGTTTGGTGGAAGAAGTGAAGCTGTGTCTCGTTGTGCTGTTCTGAGGGAAAATCGAGCATTTCTTGAGTCCTTCAGCTGCAGCTGAGATCAGAACTGCTGGGAATGGTGGTTCATTTATCAGGGGTGTCTGTCACAGCTGCTTTATGTGCAAAATCCTCCCTCTGCCCTTACTTTTGACAGCGTTTCTTGGATGTTCCTGCAGTTCAGTGACAAAAAACCAGGGGGGCAGTTATTTCCTAAAGATCTTTTCCCAAATAGCAAATCAAGGCTGTTTCTGCAAGTTCAGAAGCTCTCGGCTTTAAATCCCCTGTCCCAATAGACACAACACAAATTACAGGGTGAGGTTGTGACAGGAGCCAGGGCTGCCAAGCTGAGAGTCCCAGGAGTCCCTGGAAAAATATTCCAAGTCCCTGAAAAGATGTTCCATCCATCCATCCATCCATCCATCCATCATCCATCCATCATCCATCCATCATCCATCCATCATCCATCATCCATCCATCATCCATCCATCCATCATCCATCCATCATCCATCATCCATCCATCATCCATCCATCCATCATCCATCCATCATCCATCCATCATCCATCCATCCATCCATCATCCATCATCCATCATCCATCATCCATCCATCATCCATCCATCCATCCATCCATCATCCATCATCCATCCATCCATCCATCCATCCATCCATCCATCCATCATCCATCATCCATCCATCATCCATCATCCATCCATCCATCCATCCATCATCCATCCATCATCCATCCATCATCCATCCATCCATCATCCATCCATCCATCATCCATCCCATCCATCCATCATCCATCCATCATCCATCATCCATCCATCCATC